TCACAAGTGAATGTGAGCATAATAGTAGCCTATTATGGGTCGGTAGATGGAAAAGCGAATCCGTAGAACACTCAACGCCAAGTCAGAACAATCGAATGGACTGTTAGAATGGGTGACAATTTGCAGTTCCGTAGACAATCAGGCGGGCTCCAAGAAAAAAACAGGTACTATACAAACAAGTGTGACACCAAACCCAGAAGACAACTAACTAATGCATATGTATTAAGTCTGGACTTAGGCGACACCGATTTAAGTTCCCCCTCATAGTAGGGTTGTGTTCCACGAGCGCTAAACGTTTTCAGCTATCTTAAAACGGAACTTAATTCCTGCAGGTAACAAGCCAGTAGTAAAATTTCCTAATAGAACGAGTAACGGAACAAACTCGAACATTTTGCGACATACAACGTTAATCCGATGGAGGAATATGTTTTTTAACGGCGTCAGAAATTTTGCGCATAGGCCTTAGGCGGCGAAAGCTTAAACTTATACTTAAAAAGTCCATAATGTATGTGAGAAGTAGACACGCTCACTGGGACAGGAACTTTCTGAATGACGTTTTGGATTCCTTCTCGAACCCATAATCAGCAACAATAGCGGAAACGAGTAGTTCGTACACAGGGAGTTGCAGTATTTGTAGGATGCAATCGCAATGCCAATGCATATTATGATAATTAACGGCTCCTCTTTATAACGAACAGTTAACCGCTTGTGCGCTAAATGTCCGATAGCCGGTGTGCGGGTCATGACCTGCTGAATTTTAGTGACTTGCGCACCTATTCTCGATAAAGGCGAAGACGTTAATGGTATGCAGTAGCATAGCAACTGCGTCCTATAAATATTGCAATTCATTTTGCATAGAATGCCCACTACAGGCACTGTTTTTTTATAATGGGCGAGAGAAGTAATTGCTTCTCTCACCCCTTTCGGCCGAAACACCAGGCAAATAAAGTTCTGTTTCCAGCGAAAGTAATGCATTATCATGTGTATTTATTGTGGCAGTTTGTTTAAATAATTATTTTAGATGAGAAATAGGCTTCCACGTTCAATAACAAACGAGGACGATATCTCAATCCACCTTGCAAATTCGTGCAAACCACGATGAAATATTGCTTCTATTTTGACTTTTCCACCAGATTTGCAGGCTAGTAAAACCATGTTAAGGATTTTCACCATTTTTACGAGCAAGTCCCTGCTCAACTGTCGGGTCTTATTGCCTACTTTTTCTTTTCATTTAATAGTTTGTTTTGCAACTTCATCTGGATTGCTTAGTTTTGACGCTTTCGAAAGACTGATTTGTGTGATCGTCAATATCAGTAAGGAGATATGACAAACAGCATGTATTTAGATTGCTGTTGGCCTACTTCACGATGTGTTCCCTTTCGCATGTCAGTGTCCTTATAAGCGCCGTGAAGCGTTGGCTAAAAAGTATTAAGGCTATCTCCACTCACTGGACTGATGCTATCGCTTGCCGGCACACGCCACACGGAGACAGTCTCCAGACAAAAAATTATCATAGAGCTTAAAAAATCCCAAGTAGCAAAAAAGGCAAATATAAAGAAAAATATTAATTGTAACTCCGAATATCTGTTGCTTACTCCAACTATTACGTCTTTGCTTTCCGGAATATGTTTACGGCTCTAGAGGTACTTTCCGCCCGTCTTACTAATAATAATAAGTTGTATATTTCAGGCCCATTGGGCCTCATCAATAAACCAAAGAAAGTTCTAAGAATAATTGGTTTAACAAACAGTATCGGCAGTTCTTTGCTATGACACAAGAGTAACTGTTTAGGAGCGAATTTGGTAGATTCGATTACATTGTAGATTACATTGTAGTAAGTCATCGGAGAAATCTGACATTCATATTAGTTGCACAATATTCCGGAGAATTATTCTTGAAACTGAAAATTATCCGGAAGAACTCGCATTTATTGCTAAGCGTAAAGCGCGTTCCCAAATCCCAGGATAAAACTAGTATGTGCACTTATATTTCTTTGCGATTATTTAACGAAATTTAGTGATATTGTAGTGTCCAAGCAGTTAGCAGACAATCTCAACAAGAGTTCATTTAGGAAAAAGCAGTTTATTGAGATTGGGGATGAACAGGGGCAACGATTCTAAAAAGGGGTGCAGGTTAGCAGGAAGTCGGAACGAAAAAGGGGCGTCGGAAAAACAGCCAGGGCA